CATATATCTGTCCGTATTTGCGGTCCCACTCGACGTCCAGAAACCAGCGCTGTTTTAACAGCCAATAGATAGAGTTACCCAAAAATGGCACCGGTTTTGGGCCTTTCAAACCCATTTTGGTGAAATAATTAAATTGACGAGATATTCGCCTATTAATAACATTCAAAATAATTAGTAAAGTAAAAAGCGTAAATTACAATTACCAGTAAAATGTGGTCACTATTACGGCGGTTGCAATAGTGATCCATGAGCTCAATGATAATTGGCCTAATATTAGCATTAAATCCATTGTTTAAATTAGTTATACTTTAAATATTAATGTATTCGTGTCACGTTAAATGGGTGTTTAATTATAATTATTTAAAAATTTTATTTAATTACAAAATAAGTGTTTAAAACAGAATTATTACTAAACGTATAATATATTTAATAAATTGAATCACGTGGTTTTAATATACTGTCAAAATAAAATATAAGTGATCACAGAATAGACACTGAAGGTTAGCATCTGTTATATAAAATATTCTTTAGAAAATAAATTGTTTCCATTGAAGGCAACAAATAATATATAACTATTCATTACAGACATATTAATACTAATCATGCTAAATTCATTGTTAATGTGCACCTTTTATCAATGTCATTTAATGACATTGATAAAAATAAATTTTATTATATTAATTGAAAAACACTCACAATTCGTGTAGAATATTTTATTCCGAATACTGTATTTAAAGATAATATGGTAAATCTTTAATTTAATTATAATTAGTGTTTCATTTGACGACAAAATGATAGGAAAGGTAGCTTTGATTACAGGTATATAATAACATAATGGTCAATTTAAGAAAATTTATTAATCTAGGTTAATTATCAGGCATTATATAAATGTTAATTATTTATTAATTTCAAGGTTCCTCTTCTGGTATCGGCGCCGCTATAGCCATAAAGTTGTGGTCTTTGGGCGCGAATGTAGTCATCACTGGAAGGAATGAGAAACGAATCCAAGAAGTGGTCAACAAATGCCAGAATCGGGACAATCAGAGAGCGCTTGAAGTGAGGGCTGACTTATTGGTGGACAAAGATATCGAGCAATTAGTGGCGAAGACTATCAAAGAGTTCGGCAAAATTGATATTCTGGTCAATAACGCCGGTATCGGAACTACTGTCCAATTAAATGATCAAAAATACATCGAAACCTTTGACGAGATTTTTAAGACTAATGTTAGATGTATT